GAAAATCAATTATATTTGTATACACTTGCAATGAACAATATAAAAAAGAATTTAATAAAATAATTCAATTTATAACAGTATCAAAAATAGTTAAATATTCAGAAAAAAATTTAACAAGAAAGTGAAAAACTTATACTAGGAAAATATCAAAACAGTAATGAATGAAATTAGAAAAGATCATCAAAAATATTTTTTAAAAAAGATCTTTAAGACAATTTCCATTTATTAGTGGGAAAAATCCCATGTGAAGAAATAAGATTTAACCTTGTTAAGATGGCAATACTTCTCAGCTGATCTACAGATTCAATAAAATCCTTAACAAAATCATAGTTGACTTCCTTGTGCAAAATGACAAGCTTATTCTAAACTTCTTATGAAATTGCAAGACACAGAATGGTGAAAAACAATCCTATTAAAGAAGAATAAAAAAAGACGACTCACATTTCCAGATTTCAAAACTTACTGCAAAGCAACTGTGATCAAGACAATTTATTTCTAAACATAAAGATAGACAAAACATATCAATGGAATAGAATTGAGACTCTAGGAACAAATGTACATATGTATGGTCAACCAATTTTCAACAAGGATGCCAAGACCATTCAATGTGAAAACACCATTTCAATAAATGCTAGGAATACTAGATAGCTGTATGCAAAGGAAAAAAAAGATTACACCATTTCAAAAATGAACTAAAAATAGATCAAAGATATAAATGCAAGAGATAAAACTACAAAACTTTCTTAGAACAAAATGTAAAGGTAAATTTTTATGATCTCAGATTTGGCAGAGGTTTTTAATATATGACACCAAAAGCATGAACTACAAAAGAAAAAAAAATGGACTTCATCAAAATTAAAATATTTTGTGCTCCAAAGGAAATGATACCACCAAGAAAGTGATATGACAACCCAGGAAATGGGAGAAAATATCTGCAAATCATATATGATAAGAGCCTTATATCTAGAATATATAAAATAATAAAAAGACAAAAAAATTTTCAATGGTCAAGGGATTTGAATAAACACTTCTCTTTTTTTATTGACGTATAATCAGTTTACAATGTGTCAATTTCTGGTGTACAGCATAATGTTTCAGTCATACATTTACATACGTATATTTGTTTTCATATTATTTTTCATTATAGGTTAATACAAGATATTGAATATAGTTCCTTGTGCTATACAGAAGAAACTTGTTGTATATCTATTATATATATATATGCATATATATAGTAGTTAGTATCTGCAAATCTTGAACCCCCAATTCATCCCTTCCCACCCTCTTCCCCCTCTGGTAACCATAAGTTTGTTTTCTATGGCTGTGAGTCTGTTTCTGTTTTGTAAATAAGTTCATTAATATCTTTCTTTTTTTAGATTCCACATATAAGTGATATCATATAGTACTTTTTTTTCTCTTTCTGGCTTGCTTCATTTAGAATGACGATCACCAGGTCCATCCATGTTGCTGCAAATGGCATTATTTTATTCTTTTTATGGCTGAGTAGTATTCCATTGTATAAATATACCACAACTTCTTTATCCAATTATCTGTGAATGGTTTCCATGTTTTGGCTGTTGGAAATAGTGCTGCTATGAACATTGGGAACATTGGGGGGTGCATGTATCTTTTTGAATTAGAATTCCCTCTAGATATATGCCCAGGAGTAGATTGCTGTATCTATTTTTAGTCTTTTGAGGAATCTCCGTACTGTTTTCCATAATGGCTGCACCAAACTACATTCCCACCAACAGTGTAGGAGGGTTCCCTTTTCTCCATACCTTCTCCATCATTTGTCATTTGTGGACTTCTCAATGATGAGCTTTCTGACTGGTGTGAGGTGATACCTCATTGTAGTTTTGATTTGCATTTCTCTGGATAAATAGTGATATTGAGCATTATTCATGTGTCTGTTGGCCATTTGTGAATAGACAGTTTTTAAGGAAATGATACAAATAGCCAAAAAACACATGAAATGATGCTTGACATTATTGGTCGTCAGTGAAATGAAAATTGAAGCCACAATGAAATATTATTTTATACCCACTAGAACAGTTAGAATAAAAGAGTAAAATAAGAACAAGTGTTAATGAGGATATGGAGAAATTAGAGCCCTTATACACTGCCAGTGAAAATGTAAAATTTAAGACTACTTTAGAAAAGTCTGGCAATTCTACAGACAAGTAAAAATTCGAGTTACTATATATATAATCCAGTAATTCCACTCTGAAGTAAATAGCCAAGAGAAATGAAATTACATGCCCACACAAAAAATACATACAAGAATATATATCTCAACATTATTGATAGTAGCCAGAAGGTGGAAATAAACCAAATGTTCATCAACTATCTGAATGATAAACAAAATGTGTGATAATACATTTTGATGAGTTTGAGGATTTGGGGAGTGATCAAGGAAAAGGTTTGACCACAAGATGGCAGTAGCACACACTGAGATTTCTTGGGCAGCACTTTGACAGCTTGTATGGTAGGGAAAGTCCCACACAGCAGGAGACTTTCCAGAGGTAGTGGCCAGTGCCATCACTCCAAGGGGAAAAGAGCAAGGAAAATCCTGGAGCAGAGGGTAATTAGACAGGGGCATATGTTTCTTGATAATATCTTTCAGTGGCATGGAAGGTAGTCTCTGGGTCAGAGAGCCTGGAGGGCAGCAGTGATTTGGAATCTTTTATAATCCCAGGGTTTGTCTTATCCATAGCTAGCAGAAGTTGGGTACAGTTTTGTGAAGTATACCAATCAAGCAGTTTCTTTATGGTTGTCATTGTGTCTGTTTGGAATGTATTTGAAGCAATTGAACATTAAGCATTTCAATTTGGTGCCAATGGGCTTGAACTCAAGGTCCTATTTTTTTGAAGAAGTAAACAATATACAGATCAATGTACAGGGGCTATCTTTAATTCATTTACATAACACCATAAAGTGAAATGTTATTCAGCCATGAAAAGAACCAAAGTACAAATACAGGCTACATCAGTATGCTAAGTGAAAGAAAACAGCCACAAAATACCACATTATTTATTACTGCATTCATAAGGAAGTCCAGAGTAGGGAAATCTATTGAGCCAGAAAGTAGATTTGTGATTCATCTGGACTAGATGGAGGATATGGGATAGAGGTGATAGCTAGTGAGTGAAATTTTTTGAGAAGATAAAAAGTTGCCTATTTTGATGATTACACATATTGTGAAGGAAAAGCCCAGCTGGGCT